AGTTATTTTCTATATCTTATGTACTTATTAGGGGGAGCTTTCATTTTTTGATCATAATCAAAATAGGGGAAGAAATTATTTAAAGCCTCTTATGTTTATTAAATTTAAATGTTATCTAGTATGTTTAATGCTTTTGTTAGTTGTGACAAATAAAACAGGTTATTACAAAGGGCTTTAAAAGAAATTTTGATCATCATAAAAAAGGGGGAGATTGTTGAAACAAACAAGGATATGAATGTTGAACATACATGAATATGAAGCTTGTTGATTTTGATGATGATTCAAGAATAAAGGACTTAAATATTTGAAGAGTTGTAATGTTATGTAATAACTCTGTTTTTATGTTTTTGAGTCTGTAATATTAGATTCCAAGATAGCCAGCACATAGACCACTCTTTAAAAGCTCTAAAAACTCATTTTTATCAAAAACATACTGGAATAATCGATTAAATGGTCGGATAATCGATTATTACAGAAAGAAAACCATTTTCAGTCTTTTCTCTCTGGAATAATCAATTAAATGCCCTGTTAATCGATTAACTGGGCTGTTAATCGATTAATTGGCCTATTAATCGATTAAATGATGTAGTTTTTGGTCCTTTGCGAAAATGGCTCTGGAATAATCGATTAACATTCAAGATAATCGATTATTTCAGTCAGATATGTGTTTTGAAATTCAAAATTGGACCAAGTTTCAAAAATCCTATTCCCAATTCATCTGTTTTCGAAAATCCCCAATTCTCAAACCCTAATCTCTCTACTTAAGGTTCTCTAAGGCTCTCTGCAAAAAGAACAACATTTTTCAAACAAAAGTTAAGAGTTGTGACTGCCAGAGAACTGTTTGTTGGGAGGAAAAAGGGGTTTTTGAAACCTAGTGTGGGCTAGAAGCGATGAGAATCACTGAGTGGGTTTTCTTGGTGGATTGTTTGATGTGTCGTCTCTAGGGAAAACTGTTCTTCATCCTTTGTGGATTCAAAGGAGGTGTTCATCTCTTGTGTGGCTCAAGAGAGGTGTATTCTTTACCTTATCTTTTCATTTGTAATCTGTTTGTATAACTGTGATTATAGTGACAACATTAATCCTCTGTTTGAGTGATTAGCAACTGGACGTAGGGTCTTTTGATCCTAACCAGTATAAATCGACTGTGTTATCTTCTATCCCTTCTCTATTTACTTTACACAACATTTTAATTGGTGAAATTTGGGGAAAATTTTAAAACCCTAATTTTTGTTTAAGAAACCAATTCACCCCCCCCCCCCCCGCTCTTGGTTTTTGTCTAAGGATTTTAAGATCTTTGTGCTCAACTCCTCATTGTCAAAACTTTTTCCTAATGCTTTCAAGTTATTTATTATATGTGTGAAGCGTGTCTGAAAATCTGTGATGCTTTCATTTTGCTGCATTTGAAATAATTCATACTCCTGGATGAGTGTGTTCTTACGTGCTCGCTTTACTTCATTTGTTCCTTCATGTGTTACTTCAAGAGTGTCCCATATTTCTTTTGCCGTCTTGCATTGTGAGACCCTGAAAAATTCATTACGAGTTAAGACAGAAACAATAGCGTTTCGAGCTCTTACATCATATTGAGAACGCTTATTTTCATCCGACGTCCATTGGTTAAAAGTCTTTAGAACAGCTCCAGACTCCGTTGTTCTCATCAGAATGTAGGGACCGTTGAGTACAGTATCCCAAACACCGTAATCTAGTATTTGTAAAAATATTTCCATTCTCGCCTTCCAAAACTGATAATCTTCTCCTTCAAATAATTGTGGTATGTTTATTGAGGCTCCTTCCCTGTAAACTTGATTCTGCATAGACATCTTGACAGATTGTTTAGAAATATCTTATCTAACCAAGATCTGATACCACTTGTTAGACAAATGGCATCTAGAGGGGGGGGGGGTGAATAGATGCACAAATTAAAATAGATGTCAAATTAAAAATTTATTTGTGAGTCAATAATTTGTTTGAACACAGATAAAGCGGAAACGATAATATAATTAGGAGAAGAGAAAGAGATAAGGGAAAGAGAAGAACACACAATGGTTTATACTGGTTCGGGTATAGCCAATCCTACATCCAGTTCCCAGTCAACTCTTAACACAAGAGTGACTCCCAATTCACTATCTTTCAAATTCAGTTTACAAAGTACAATCAACTCAGCAGAAGAACCAGTAAAAAATAAACTAATTAAAAAGATAATCACCTCCTTAGAAACCCACTAAGGATGAACACCTCCCTAGAATCCCACTAGGGATGAACACCTCCTCTGAACAAATCAAAGGATGAAAAACACCTCCTTAGAATCCCACTAAGGATGAACACCTCCCTAGAATCACACTAGGGATGAAAACCTCCTTTGAACAAATCAGAGGATGAAAACACCTCCTTAGAATCTCACTAAGGATGAACACCTCCCTAGAATCACACTAGGGATGAAAAGTACCTCCTTTGCCACCAATACATAAAGGATGAAGGTAATAAAAATAAGAACAGTCACACCTGAGTAATGGAGACAACAAATTGTAGAAGCCTGTAAAATGTCAATCTCCAAGAACAAGTGTGATTAACAATGAAAGCACAGAAGGCAGTACAGAAGAGGGTTTTCTCAGAAGGTGTAAAATATCTTTGTTACCTTGCTCATAATTCTTTTCTCAAAACTGATTGAATGTAAATTGTATTTTCGAATTCTATAATTGTGTTTTTGTTTTTTCATCAAAACTTAATTAAATAGAAAAATAACATCGAGAAAATGGTCGTTGGATATTAATATTTTTATGAATAAAAATTAAGATATATTAAAAAATATTTATTCTTCAAGACAAATATATTTTTCAAATTTGAATTGCCATAATTGATTATGTTACCGAGTATAATCAATTATGACAGAGAAAATCATTTTTCCATTTCTAATACATCATAATTGATTATGATAGAGATGTAGACCCCAAATCTTGTTCGACCTCAAAATAAGAGCAAAAGACCTCCTATTCGAAGATGGACAAAGCCTTAAAAGTCACTAGGAGAGACTATTAGGTCCCATATTAGAGTAGGAAGGCTTTTCTGTACAAAAATAAGGATTTTTTCCTTCAGGGTTCGAGACAGTCGTCTCGCTTTTCGGGACTGTCATCTCGACCAATGGTAAGTCGAGACTACCGTCTCGTTTGGCGAGACCCCCCTCCCGTTTGGCGCGATGGCCCTCTCGCCACTTGGCAAGTCGAGACCGCCATCTCGCCAAACGAGACCGCCATCTCGCCACTTATTCAAGTCGAGACCGCTGTCCCGAATGGCGAGACCGCCGTCTCGACCTGATAGGCGTGAATCCCTATAAATAGGGGACGCTCTCCCCTTAATTTCACATAGCTCTTCCACCTTTCCTTTTGCAATTTCTTAAAATTCTTCCTTTAGAGCCCCTCCGAAGCATTTCCGGAGTTTCTGAGTGTTTTAAGAAAGCTTTTATAGC